TAAATACGGCCCCAGGGTGGTCAGAGGGTCCCATGCCACCCGTCCCCTCGTGACCTCCCCCTCGACCTCCAGCTGACCATGCATGCCAGCTGAGTGGCCAGCTGAGTCCTGGACCCTCTCTGGACTTTGCCTCCCCCAACCCCCTCCCCATCAATAAAACTGTTTACAACCACCGGCCCCCCAAGGCTCTGGCTCTGCTCTGTCTCCTGGGGGCGGGACCTGGACCATGGTGTTGCCCTGGGGGGTAACTGGGAGCCCCTGTGTCACTCGTGGTGGCAAGCAGAATTCTGGGGAGCTGGGTGTGGAAATGGGGGGCATCTTCCTCTGGATGGGGCCGGTTCCCGATTCGTTCTTGAGCAGATATTTACTGTGCACCTGCTATATGCCAGGCACCGTCGGGGACAAAGATCCCTGTCCTCATGGAGCTCGTAGCCTAGTTGGGGAGACCGGTCCTGTACTTGCAAATTAGGACTGGATTTGAAGGAGTGATGTGTGCAGTGGGGAAAAGGCCAGGTAATGTGCTAGGTAGAGGGTGAGGGGGTGGGGGGTGGCCAAGGAGGGCCTGTCGAGGTGACCCTTGAGCTGAGATGTGCTGAGTGAGAAAGCGGCTGTGGGGAGGCGTGCGGGCAGAGGGAACAGTGTGGGGGACGTGAGAACACGCTTGGAGGAGGGGGCAAGGTGGCCACAGCGGCCCCGGGGAGGGGAGGCGGCAGGAGCAGGGGCAGATCAGGAGGGAGGGGAGGGCCAGGGCTCGGGGCAGGCAGGGCCCCACAGATCAGGAGCGTAAAAAAATGTTTTTATTGTGGCAAAATCCACATAAATCCACATGAATTCAAATGCACCATGGGAAGTGTTTTAAAGTGCACAGTTCGGGGGCGACCAGGTGGCTCAGTTGGTTAAGCATCTGACTTGGCCTCTGGTCATGATCTCAAGGTCCATGGGTTCGAGCCCCGTGTCGGGCTCTGTGCTGGCAGCTCAGAGCCTGGAGCCTGCTTGGGATTCTATGTCTCCCTCTCTCTCCACCCCTCCCCTGCTTATGCTCTGTCTCTCTCTCTCTCTCTCTCTCTCTCAAAAGTAAACATTAAAAAAAATTTTTTTAAGTGCACAGGTCAGTGGCATGAGGTCCGTTCACACTGTTGGGCACCCATCCCCACCATCCATCTCCAGAACTTTCTCACCTTTTCCAAACTAAAACCCTGCCTCCATTACACATTAACTCCCCATCCTCCTCCCCCCAGCCTGATGGAGTTTAAGTGGGACGGGGAACCACCCGAGGCTTTGAAGCAGGGGCGGGCTCTGATTGCACGTTCAGAGATCTCTGTAGCATTTTGCCTTTAGGGTTCACACCCCTTCCTTCCCGCCCGCTTCTGATGAAGCACCTACTGTGTGCTGGGCCCTGGGGGTGGAGCAGTGGACGAGACAGATCTGGCTCCCCCTTGTCCCAGAGGAGACCGTTAGCCTAGTAAACAAATGCAAAACACCGGGAGGACATCGCCTGGCTTCTCCTGGACGCGTGAGAGGTTTGACCTACAACATTGTGTAAGTTTCAGATGTTTGATACATGCCAATATTGCACCATGAAAGGTTAACACATCCATTACTTCAGGTACTTGTGTGTGTGTGTGTGTGTGTGTGTGTGTGTGGGGTGTTTATATTATACACCCACACACCGCGTGGGGGTGGCTGTGTGTGTTTGTTTATCGTGGAATTGTCTTTTTTTTTAATTTTTTTTCAACGTTTTTTATTTATTTTTGGGACAGAGAGAGACAGAGCATGAACGGGGGAGGGGCAGAGAGAGAGGGAGACACAGAATCGGAAACAGGCTCCAGGCTCTGAGCCATCAGCCCAGAGCCCGACGCGGGGCTCGAACTCACGGACCGCGAGATCGTGACCTGGCTGAAGTCGGACGCTTAACCGACTGCGCCACCCAGGCGCCCCTAAGCGTCCAACTCTTGACTTCAGCTCAGGTCATGATCTCAAGGTCCGTGGAATCCAGCCCTGAGTTGGGCTCTTCGCTGCTAGCGCAGAGCCTGCTTGGGATTCTCTCTCTCCCTCTCTCTGCCCCTCCCCACTCTCTCAAAATAAATAAAATTGAAAAAAAAAACAAAAGATCTACTCTCTTAGCAAGTTTCAAGTATGTAATACAGCAACGTTAATGATAGTCACCGGGCTGTACATTACAACTCCTGGATGTATTCGTCTTGTAACCATGCATTTGTACCCTTAGACCCACATCTCCCCATTTCCTGCACCCCCAGCTCCAGGCAGCCACCATTCTACTCTGTTTCTAGTGTTTTTTTTATTTATTTATTTATTTTTTTTTCAACGTTTATTTATTTTTGGGACAGAGAGAGACAGAGCATGAACGGGGGAGGGGCAGAGAGAGAGGGAGACACAGAATCGGAAACAGGCTCCAGGCTCTGAGCCATCAGCCCAGAGCCCAACGCGGGGCTCGAACTCACGGACCGCGAGATCGTGACCTGGCTGAAGCCGGACGCTTAACCGACTGCGCCACCCAGGCGCCCCTTTTTTTTTACTTTAAAGAAGTGTTTTAATGTTTATTTATTTTTGAGAGAGAGAGAGAGAGAGAGAGAGAGAGCGAGTGCAAACAGGGGAGGAACAGAGAGAGAGAGGGAGACATGGAATCCGAGGCAGGCTCCAGGCTCCGAGCAGTGAGCACAGAGCCCAATGCGGGGCTTGAACCCACAGATCATGACCTGAGCCAAAATCGGATGCTTAATCGAATGAGCCACCCAGGCGCCCCTTCTGTCTTTTTGATACTGGCCATTCTGACAGGTGTGAGGTGGTATCTCATTGTGGTTTTGATTTACATTTCCCTGAGGATGAGTGAGGCTGAGAACCTTTCATGTACCTGTTGACCATCTGCATGTCCTCCTCGGGAAACTATTATTCAGGTCCTTTGTCTATTTTGTGCATATCTGTTTTTGTGTGTCCATCTCAACGGGTCTGTTATTCTGTCCTGCTTTGTCTGTGTCTCTGTGTTGTATCTGTATCTGTGTATTCATGAGGGTATTCACCCGTCTTTCTTTACGCCTGTCACGGTCAGCTTGCACGTATGTCTCTGAATCTGTGTGCCCACAAGACAGAACTCACATTCATTCTCACGGCTCGAGACAAAACTCTTCAGAGATTGGGCTGTGGAGAGACTGGGCCATGGCCAGGCGTGACCAAAGTCCAGGTGCATGTAAAGTTAACACATCACAGCTGAATGTTTAGAACCCAACAAGAATGAAAGCGCTGAGTAACCAAACCCGTGAGATGCAGCCAAAGCAGTTCTCAAAGGCACATTTGTAGCTTCCGGATGCATTTATTAGGGAATGAGGGAGACCCCAAACAAATAGCTCATTAGCCTTTGGATGAAGAAAGAAAGAGCAGATGGGGCCCTTGGAGACTTGAGTTCCACTTCACGGATGTGGAAGCCGAGGCCAAGAAAAGTTAAGCCGCTCGCCTAAGATCACAAAACAGAGCAGTTTCTATAGAGCTGGGAGCCGGAGCATGATTTAGTCCCTCCCAGGCCATTGTTTGAAGACTGTGGAGACTTTAGGCATCACTCCCTTTTGAATTCTATTTTTTAGAAATTATTTCACTTGGGGGCGCCTGGGTGGCTCAGTCAGTTGAACGTCCGACTCTTGACTTCGACTCAGGTCATGCTCTCACGGTTGTGGGATTGAGCCCCCCGTCAGGCTCTGTGATGAGTGTGGAGCCTGCTTGGGGTTCTCTCTCTCTCTCTCTCTCTCTCTCTCTCTCTCCCTCTGCCCCTCACTCCTGCTTGCACGCTCTCTCTTACTATTAACAAAACAAAACAAAACACCCAGAAATTATTTCATTTAGAAAAAAGGTCAACAACAATATGTCATGAATTCAAGACAAGTCCTCTTTGTTCCTTCCATTGAACTTCCTGGTTGCTTGGATTTATTGCAAAGACTAGCTCTTGCTTAGAGAGCTGTCCCTCCCCTGCCCAGGAACGGAGCCTTGCAAACGTGACCCTTGATTCCTGGAGTGGGGGGAAGTGAGGATTCAGCCCCAGAGACTCTGGGGGTACCCACCCCCCAAAAGCAGGAGTCAGGGGGATGAAACACCAGGTAAAAGCAGGCGGAGAAGGGAGCACACCCCTCCCCTGCCAGGAAGCAATTTTGCAATTCTGGCCACCCCCCTTCCCTTGCCTGGCTCAGGTCCAGCCACTAACGGGAACAGGACGTGGGTGAGGACTTCCCTGGGGCGGGCGGCCCTGCCCCCAGTCCAGGCAGGTATAAGGCAACCTCACCGGGCTGAGCGAGCCCAGATGGAAAAGGGGGAGGCCATCATGTCTTCTCGGAGGCCACAGCGGAAGCAGAGGTGAGTCCCCCCACCCTGCCCATGGTGGGCAGAGCTGGATTCCAGGCAGCTCCATCTGATGCACGGAGGTCACGGGGCGAGATGTAGACCCACGGGCTGGAACAGAGCGACAGGCTCTAACTGTGGACAGACTCGCTGTCACTCACACTTGCTACAGCAGTGCTCCACGGGCCACACAGAGAGCGGGAGGCCCACCAACGCCTCCCGACCAACACCCCACCAGAGGCCTGCTGGAGGGACCGCGAGGGGCAGAGCCCAGCCCTGGGAGGATTATGGTGCCGCCTGTAAACCACCCCAGCCCAGGGCCAAATGCCTGCTCCGATCTGCACAAAGCTGGATGCACTTTCCGTGTTCAGGGTTCCCTTTGGAGCCCTGGGTTGCCCTCGAGCACTTTGGAGCAAGATAGAGCTGAACACAGCAAGTAACCTTGTTTGGCCGGCGCTGGGCAGAAAGGGCAGAAAGTTTCCCCGAGGGGACAACTTGGGAAAGTCGGAGAAAGTGTCACGGGCAAGGGAGCATCGGAGCCGGGGCTTTGCAGGACAAGTAGGAGTTCGCTGCCCCGGCCTTCAACATATGGAGCCGGGGAGGTAAGAAATGACCCAGAAAACAAGCTAGAGCAGAAGGAATTAGCACATGTGACTGTAAATGATGAACAACCCGTTGGGGCAAGGCTGGCAATGGGGAGGGGTAACACTTATGGGTCAGAGAAACGCGGTCTTCAGAGAGTTCGAATTCTCTCTGGAACAACAGCTACCTCTGGCAGCCGTGAGGGGTGAGGGTGGAAGCGAGGAGAGGAACAGGAGGTGACTGCACTCGTCCCGGGGACCAACGCGGTGGCATGGTCCCAGGTAGTAGACAGGAACGGGCTGGCTGATTCTGGGGACGTTTTCACCCAGCCGGGTGTCTCTTCTGTTGTTGCCCGCAGCCCCGGAGGCCTGGACTCCCGGCTCTCTAGAACGCTGCTCCTGCTGCTGCTGTCTACAGCCTCCGCCCAGGAGGTCACCCCCAACCGTGCCGCCTGCGTGGTGTCCCACGCGGTCAACGGCAGCTCCGTCTCCTGCCACCCCCCCGCCCAAATCCCCCGCCGCTTCCCAGCCGACACCGTCTACCTGGCGGTGGAGTTCTTCAACCTCACGCGGCTGCCAGACGACACCCTCCGGGGCCTCGCTCGCCTCCAGGAACTGCACCTGTCCAGCAACCAGCTGGAGAGCCTCTCGCCCAAGTTCCTGCTGCCCGCACCTCTGCTTCAGGTGCTGGATCTAACCCGCAACCGCCTGGCCCGCCTGCCCCCCGGCCTCTTCCAGCCCTTGGCTGCTCTCCACACCCTGGTGCTGAAGGAAAACCAGCTGGAGGCTCTGGAGCCCTCGTGGCTGCTCGGCCTGAAAGCCCTGCGGCATCTGGACCTTTCCGAAAACCGCCTCCAGACCCTGCCCCCGGGGCTGTTGGCCAACGTCACCTCCCTGCGCATCCTTGACCTCAGCAATAACCAGTTGAAGGCTTTGCCCCCAGACCTTCTGAAAGGCCCCCTGCGGTTGGAAAGGCTGCATCTGGAAGGCAACGGACTGCAGGTGCTTGACGAGGGGCTCCTGGCACCCCAGCCAGACCTCCGCTACCTTTTCCTGAATGACAACAAGCTGGCCACCGTGGCAGCGGGCGCCCTCCAGGGTCTGTGGCAGCTGGACTTCCTGGATCTGTCCAACAACTTGCTTACCGGCGCGCCTAAGGGGCTCTGGACATCCCTGGGGCAGCCCACCCGGGACATGAAGGATGGCTTTGACATCTCTGGTAACCCCTGGATCTGTGATGGGAACCTGGAAGACCTCTACGGGTGGCTTGTGGCCAACAAAGACAAGATGTTCTCTCGGAACGCGACGCGCTGCGCTGGGC